AGGTGAGCGGCAGACGGGGGACAGCACAGGCTGGTGGGGCCACAGTGCAGAGAGGTGGCCCGGGGATGAGCCAGCAGGTTAAGCAGGTGGGAAGTGACCCCAGAAGTGAGCAGGGCTTTGCTGAGGTTTGTGCATCCGCCTCCTCCCATCCTGTCCTCCACTCCCCTCTAACGAGCTCATGCTTTCCCCACCTTTGCTTCTCAGATTTCTGCACAGGAAAGTAGGAGAAAGAAGAAAGAGTACATGGACAGCTTGGAAAAAAAGTAAGCCGCTGAGAATCTGGTTGTGGCTGGGTCAGTATTCACACAGACAGGATGAGTTGTATCTTGGAGAAGCCTAGGGCCTCTTAGCCAACCCGAAAAACCGGTTTATATGTGTCTTGCCTGCCACCTAGCGGTTGTTGCGGGAGGAACATTTATAAAGATGGTGAGAAGTAAAAACTCCCCTCCCTCTTCCCAGGCAGTGGAGCCACGCGTCTCCAGCCTGGGCTCCCCCGTGCATGGGGGCAGCCTTTCACACGGGACAAATATTGACATTCCAAAAGTGCCTAGCACTCCTCAGAGGAGACAGACTCTTTCAACCAAAAGGCACACTTGTGTTTAACAGATTCCTGCCGGCCACACTCCCTGTACATAGAGAAAGCACACGCAGAGCGGGTCAGGTTGCATTCTTCGCTTTGTGACCACCATAATCCGTGTGTGGCCAAGTGAGTGAGTTTTTTGCAGCAGAAACATGAAGGCTTTCTTTGTTCTGAAGAGCCTGCAGGACTGTTAGGAAAGCACAAATTATTTTTTTTTCCCCTCTGGTACTGGGGATGAAACCCCAGGTCTTCACCCTGAGCTACATGCTCAACTACTTTAAAACATTTTCTTTTTCTTTTGATCCGGGGTCTTGCTAAGTTTCCCGGCCTTGAGTGTGGACACTCCTGCCTCAGCCTCCCAGAGTGCTGGGATTACAGGTGTGTGCCACCAAGGCCAGGTGCAGTTCATATTAGCCCTAGAAAATAGTTCTCTGGCTGGACAGCACCTGAGAGGAAGAGAAAGAGATCCCTTGATGAGAAGCAAGTCTTGCCTTGATCTGGGGGGAAATGAGGTCAGTAGACAGATCCTTGCTGGTTCTAGAAGGCCTGTGACAGTTAGGGTGTCTGTCACCTGAGGCAGGGTTAAGAAGCTCCATTCCATTCTGTTATTTCTTTTTAGACATCCAGACTCAGGACACTGCCATGAAGGTTGCTTTACTGTCCCTCATGGGCACGTAGGCAGCAGGACCCAGTGTCCTTGTCCTGGGTTCATGTTTTCCTTAGGCCCCTGCTCCGCACTCATCTCTGAATCAGTGCCTGTGGCCAGGAATTCAGGCAGCATGTGCACATCTGTGCAGTCCAGAACAGGAGTGTGAGCACAACAGGGGACGGAGAGAGGAGAGAGAAGGAGCTCGTTACGAAGAACTTACATGACACACCATCCCTCTCGCCTTCCAGTGCTGGGGCCCCTGTTACTCAGTCCCCCCTTTTTTCTGTCTCCTGATCTGCCTCCCAGCTCAGGTGGCCAGCTCCCTCCCCCTCTGCTTTCCTAGATGCCACCAACCTCCCCCTGAATTTCTGGTTGGCCATGTGCTCTAGGGAGAAGAGTGGATTTTCTATTTTTTCTCTCTCTCCTCCGTAGAGTGGAGTCTTGTTCAACTGAGAACTTGGAGCTCCGGAAGAAGGTGGAGGTGCTGGAGAACACCAACAGGTAACTGCAGCTGGAGTGAGAGCTGCCGGGGTTCCCCCACGGGAAGTGGGGAGGAGGGGTAGAAGCGTCAGGGCCGGAGAGGGAGGGCAAGTGTGGTTCTCCCTTTAAACATCCCAGTAGCTGCTCTCTACCTCGCTGGTCCTGCTAACGTGTGTGCACATAGACAGCACACGAGCTCGTATACTTACACAGTACAAACACTGGCATGTGGACACACACACACACACACACACACACACAGAGCATGTACTCTTGTCTAGATACATATCTATGCATGTGGCGTTCTTTACTTTTCCCAATTGTGGAAGATCGATGGAGGGGCTGATCAAGTACGATCATAAGAGAGTTGTGAAAGAGAGTAGGAGCAAAATAAGCCCATACCTTACGCCTCATTCTCCAGGACACGAGACCCCACTTTAGATGTGGACAGGAAAGCCCTGACTGTTTCATTTCCCATTTTTAATAATGAATGGTGCTTATTGATTTAAAAAAGAAATAAAATGTTTTTTTCTTAAATTGTTCTCAACTGATGAATTACTTTTATTTATTTATTTTTATTTTTTAGAAAAACTACCTTTATTTTTTATTTCTTTTTCAGTTACATACTTTTAAGCAAGGATGTGTTTCATTATGCAGACATTCAGGCAGTGTTGACTTCATTAGTGTTGACAGAAAAGCAGTGTGAAAATGCAGAGCATTGTGGGCCTAACCTGCACACACCTGCGTTGCCTGTTATTGACCTGTTGTGGTGCCACATGACTTACTCCCTGGCATTAAAATGGAACATGTAAAAATATTGCTGAAAAGCAAATGTCTACACACTGGTCTTTGCAACAAGTAAGGGTATTTCTACTTTTAAAATATTGAAGTCTATAATTGGATTAATATACACATCTTCTATATATAAGGAGTTCAGATCATGTAAACACTGTATAGTCCGAAAAACCCTACTGAGAATAAAACTAAATAGGCTTATGATAAGAAATACAGGGGGCCCGCCCATTAGCTCAGTTGTTTAAGTGCCTGCTTAAGAAAGCAGTGAGGCTCAAGCTGCACTGGTTCGAACCCAGATGCTCCTTCCAAACCAGAAATGCCCTGAAGCCATGTTTAGGCCTCCAAAAAAGAAAAGAAAAGAAAAGAAAAGAAAAGAAAAGAAAAGAAAAGAAAGACAGAGATAGCATGTATTTACAAATATCATAGACACACAAATTTGGTCAAATACTGTAAAGAAAGAGGTGGTTTCACATTATAATGGCCAAAACATCCATCTACCTTGTTCAAAGCAAACAGAAACTCAGTATGTGGCGCCTGTAGTTTAAGACACTGCCAGTGGACAGACACATAGCCTGGAAGCGACGGCCCAGATTATATAGTGAGCACTTGCGAGGGCGAGTGCAGGTCTTGAAAATGAAGAAAAGATCACTCCTAGGATTCAGAGCAACGATTACGAACGGTGTCGCGATCACAGTGCTCACGTGGGTGTGTTTCATCAAGAACGATGCCCTGAACTTTTGGCTAGCAAGAAAAGTAAATTACAAAGTATAGTTCAATCCCTGTAAATGTCCTAATGAGTTACCTTGAGACAATAAAAATAAATAAGCGCACTTGGAGCTACACAAAGACAGAGATGCGTGGGAGAAGTAACGTTTCATAAATGAAAGGTGAACATGAAATTTGACGAAAATATGAATTCTTTTTCAAGCCCCCTTTGAAAGACCTAAGAATGGGACTCAGTTTGTGGGTTCCTTCTGCGCTTGTTCCAGGTACTGTTTCAGCGCTGTGTAGGGGTGAACCCAGTGAGTCCCCTGGAGCGTGCTGCTGTTGTCCCCCTTGTATAGACTGGGCAGCTGGCCCAGGGAGGAGCAGAATGACCTTTCGCGCTGCATTATAGCCAAGGGGCTAGAGGGGCTTAGAGAGCGGGTAAGAATCAGCCGTGGAAAATTCCATCCACAATGTGTGCGTTTGTGCGCATGCGTGAAATTTAAAGTGCGCAAGCATCGGATGACCCTGGCTGTAGCCCCAAAGCTTGCAGCAGAGGAAAGTTGTGTAAGACAAGAAGCATCGGTCGTTCCAGCGCGCAGCCTGAATGTGTCCTGACGGTTCTGTAAAGACGATGGGGTCAGGTGCAATTTTTCTGTGTGTTTTGGTAACGGCACTGTGCCTGCTGTGAATTTCCTGGATGCCCCTGGCTTGTGCAAACGGCAGCTAAGGTGCTCAGAATTTGGCGCTACCGTGGGAGGGAGAGTGCGGCCGAAGCCCCCGAGTTCCCCCAGCCTGTCTGGACGCTGGAACTTGTGGCACAGGCCTGGAGTGCTCTGCAGGCAGTCGTGATGGTTTCCAGCGCCGCTGCCAGGCGGCTTCGCGGCCCGCCCGTGGCTGTCAGCCCTCCCCAGGCTGCCAGCTCTCCTCTGTGCACTGCCCTCCGTCCTGACCCCCACGGTTTCCGCGGGCTTTGCTGGTTCTCTGGCTCCTGCTGCCCAGGCGGAGTCCGTAACTGACTCTTTAGCACCACGTGCAGATAGGATTCCGGGGACCCTTCCTGGCGCATGCTGTTGGGAAGACCCATGTTCCTAAGTGGGACGATCCCGATTGTGATGGAGAAAGGAAGATTTACCCAAGCTCTTCACTGTCGAGCCTTCCCTCGGCCACACGGGGGCAGCAGAGCGCAGGAGGCTGTGTTGGGGCCCAAAGGGTGCCTGGGCGGGAGGAGAGCCAGGAAGGACACCTGGCCTGCGCAAGGGGCTTCCCGCCCTCTGCAGTGCTGCGATTGATTGCCTGATTGATTAATTGATTGATTGATTGATTGATTGATTGATTGATTGACGATTTTGAACAGTTTTATTTTTCCTGGCTATTTTAAATCTGATATCCAAGTAAGGTCCATGCATTCTGGTTGTGTGATACTCCCATTACATATCTTTTTAGCTTTGTAAGTTCTTTTCCATGTCGTTGCCGGTTTTGTCGTCGTGAGCAGAGCCAGTCTTCCTGTCCTTGCCCCCGTGCCAGTGGCCTTGTGGTGCCTCTTAGCATAGACCACTGTACGCTCTGCCTTGGTTTTGATATTTGGTAGCGACTCTTCATAGATTCTGCTGCATTATCCCATCGGGGGGTACCTAAAACCTGCTCTCCTGGTTACTAAAGGTTTACAGTAGTTGCCTAGCCAGATTAGTACCTTAGAGGTTTGGAAATAGCTTTATAAAATTACATCAATTTCTCTTAGTAGTTATCCGCAGAATGCTTTTCCCAGGTAAAATCCTTTATCATTAATGGACATGAAAGGCTGGCTAGCCCTACAAGGCGATGATTTCATTTCCTCTTGGAGCATGCCCAGTGGTGGGACGGCTGGGGCAGGTGGCAGTGGCTTTTTTAATTTTTTGAGGATTCTCCACACTGTCTATTGTAATAAATAATTTCCTTCCTTCCTTCCTTCTTTCCTTCCTTCCTCCCTTTTTTGTTTTTGCAGTACCAGGGATTGAACTTAGGACCTTGTGCTTGCCAGGCAGGCACTTATGCCACTGAGCTATCTCCCCTGTCCTATCTTCTGTGATGACTGTACCAATGTACACTCCCATCAACACTGGAGTATTCCCCATTCCCCACCACGCTGTCCTCCCTTACCAAAGCTTGTCTTTTACACTCCCGACAGGTGTAGGGTGACCCTCCCAATTTTGATTTGTATTTCCTTGGTAACAAGTAATGTTGAGCACTTTTTCCATTTAACATCTTCTTTAGAAAAAATATCTCTTTAGCGCCTTTCCAACTTTTTAATTAGGCTTTGTTTGTTTATTCATATTTATTCATATTTTTCCCATTGAGTCACATATTTTTCCATTATGTGACTCCCTTGTGGATTTTGGATATTAACCCATGTGATGTCCAATATATGGTTTGCAGATGTCTTCTACCAATCCATAGCTTGCTACCTTATGTTTTTGATTACTTAGCTTGCTATGTACTTTTTATTTTATTTATTTATTTTGCTATGTACTTTTTAGTTTTCACCTGTTCTTCATATTTTTTAAACCTATGAGAAGATACACACGTTATATCTGGCTATTATAAAAATGTTTAGATATATTTTTTTAAAAATCACAATCTTGTCACTTGGAGATATTGTTACATTCTGGAATATTTTATATGTGTGTATTTACATTGAGCATATCCCTTTATTTAAAACTCTTGAGATTTTTTTGTGGTACTGGGGTTCAAGCTCTGGGCCTTGGGTTTGCCAGGCATACGCTTATGCTGCTGAGCTGTATCCCCTGCCCTAAAACTGTTTAGATTTAACAAAATACATGATACACTTTCTCCTATCATGTCGGTATACGTCTACAGAATTCCTGTTTGACTCTCATTCTTAAAAATCTTAACTCATCACCGGCCCTGCTGGCACCTGTAATCCCAGCACTTGGGAGGCTGAGGCAGGAAGATCAGTGCGAGTTCCACTGATGAAGAACAATGCACTAAACTTTTGGCTAGTAAGAAAAATAAATTGCAAAGTATAATTAAATCCCTGTAAATGTCATAATGGGAAAACCATGATTCATTTACTTTAATACATACTTTAAATGTTACCTTGAGGCAGTAAAAATAAATAAGCATACTTGGAAGTACACAAAGACAGTAAGAGATGGGTGGAAGAAGCAACATTTCATAAATGAAAGATGAACATGCAATTTGATGCCTGGGCTGCATAGTGAGACCCTGGCTAAAAAAAATGAAATAAAATAAAAGTCTACCTCATGACATGCATGTCTGAGGCTTCCCTGGTGGGTGACTAATACTGAATGGAAGCAAGGCATTAACCTAGATCACCTGTTAAGCAGCGTAACTTTTTGGCTTTTTATTTGTCTCAGTTTTGCCACTGAGCTCTAATTGAAAGATAAAATAGTATGTGTTGGAAGTGTTCAGCCTCATGACTTGACATAGGTGCGTGTTGTGAAATGACCAACACAGTCAAGCAGGTCATCACACCCATCACCTGTCGTGACTCTTTCCCC